ATTTTTGATAACTTTCCATTTTCCTAGATTCATAGTTCATACATTCCATGTTTTGATTACTAATGAATGTTTTCAGCTGTTTCTCCTCGTTTTGAATTTTACCCCATTGGCAAATGAAGTTCATGAAAGCTTTACTCCATTCCTGTAGTCATGATCAACTCTATGTTGAGAAAGCAGCTCTTTCCCAATCATATTTTGAGTGACTTCCAACCTATATCAGGCAGTGTTTTGCAGCTATTCATAAAACTTTCAGTGGCTAACCATTCAGAAGTGGTCTGTGTTTCCTTCTTCCTAGTTTGCCTTGTTTGGAAGTGCAGTGGAATCTGTCCACCATGGATGACCCTGCTGGTATTGAAAATACTGGTGGCATAGCTTTCAGCATCATAGCAAGGCACAAGATACCATAGTATGACAAATTCACAGACAAGTGGTGGAAGGCATGGTTATCAACACTAATTTAAGAAGATGAACATGTATCAGAAACAAAATCAATAGTGAGGTCCTATGATAATTTTCTGATACCATGAAACAACTTAATTGGTATTCCTTTTACATATGGAGGTATTTAACTTTTTACAGAAAACTTATCACACTGCATAATGTTTTATGTGTGTTACTATATATTTAAAAATTGACTTCTCAAGACCGATATTGCAATACGAATGCTCATCTCATAAAACTAAATTTCAGTGCAATCATTAATTCATACTGAATTGAGTTTTCCACACAATCTGTGAATCGAATTTCCAGTATGTCCAATTGGCTTACTTTTTACTGGATTCTAAGCTATTCCTATTAATAATTCTATAAATTGTCAGATTCTTGGTAAAGGGAGGGCCAGCAAAAAAAAGGAAAACTCCCAAGGAGATGGATTGATACAGTGGCAGCAACAATGGGCTCAAATACTACAACATTTGTTAGGATGGGCTGGACAGTGTTTTGTTCTGTTGTACGTAGGGTCACTTAGTTAGAATTGACTCAACAGCACCTAATAACAACACAACAACTGCTACAAGAGATGCAAAATAGCCAGTTTTTTTCTAAGTATGGTAGAAGGCATCCCTTGAGTTTCACGCAAGATGACCCCCACTAAACAATCTGGTAACTCTCAGTGACTGCTTACATACGTGATACACGCATCATTCATGGGGATAGGAGGACAATAAGAAAAGTCTAGTTTACAAAGCTGGGGAAATGAAAGTGCCTTAGATCCTGAGAGCACTTGCTGTCATATAACAAGACTTTTAATCCAAGTACAATACTCTGTGCCTCACAATTTATCTCTAAAGGCTGACAGTCCTTACTCTGGATCCAAGCCATTGACTAGATATTTAAGTTTAATATTTAAGTAAGTTTTATGTAAGTTTAAATAGAAACTCTAAAGCTAATGTGTTGTTGTTAAGTACCATTGTGGAGTTGGTTCCAGCCTGTAGTGACCCTGTATAGGGTTTCTGAGGAACAGCTAGTGAGTCTGAACCACCGACCTTGTGGTTCAAACAGACCTTGCAGTCAAGTGTTTATCCTACAGTGCCACACACTTACTAATTGTGTATTTTCAGAGTCCATAATATAAACACTGTTTCCTTGTACTCTTCTGTTTGCTGGTGGCAATGTAAAAAGCTTATTAACAATCTTTTAGAAGCTAGCATCTTTACAAAAGATGAGTAGGGGTCTTCTTTAATATCACTAATGTGACTCACCAAGATTTGATTTGCTTTGTCTACAGTAGCTTGATTTGGGAATAATTTAAACAGAAGATAGCTGTTTTCTCCTCCCCTCTCCCCACCTCCCCGTCAACAGTGTCTTTTTCTAAAAGATTTCCTTTCTTTTATACCATTAAACTTTTTGGTGATTTCCTTAATCCCTGTAATTCCAGAAGTCATAGTGCTCATGATTGTGGCTGGCTGTGACACTCTTTGAATCACAGTGATTTGTATTGTAAAACATCCATGTGTGTACACCAATGCTCATAGCAACATTATTCACAATGGCTTATTTCTCTCAACAACATGTCTTCAAGATTCCTCTATGTCATAGCATGTATGAGTACTTCATTCTTTTTTATACTGAATAATATTCCATTTGGAGTCCTGGTGTGGTGCTGTGGGCTAATGTGCTGGACTGCAAAGTTGGTTTGAACCACAAGGTCAGCGCTTCAAGCTCATCAGCCACTCCTTAGAAATTGTATACAGGGTTGCTATGGGTCAGAACCAACTCCATGGCACTTGACAACAACAATAACAATATTCCATTAAGTAGCCCTATGGGAGTCCTGGTGTGGGCTGTGGGCTAATGCGTCAGACTGCAAAGTTGTTTGAACTGCAGCGTCGGTGGTTCAAGCTCATCAGCTGCTCCTTGGAAACCCTATACAGGGTCGCTATGGGTCCGAATGGACTCGATGGCACTTAACAACAACAATGACATAACAGTTAACTATTTGCCTGCTCACTGAAAGACTGGCAGTTCAAACCCAACCAACAGCTCATTGGGAATAAGATGGGGTGACTTGCTTCCATAAAGATTACTGCCAAGAAAACCCTGTGGGGCACTTCTTCACTGTTATATGGGGTCACTGTGATTCCGAATAGACTCAGGGCAACCTAACAACATCAATACTCCATTGTATGGGTATGTTGGTGAACGTGTGGATTGCTGCTATTGTGAATAATGCTGGAATGAGCACCAGTGTCTCTCTTCATTAAAAAAATATATACTAGGACCCTCAAAAAACAAGTGATCTTCAATTCTAAGGGGCCCTGCCTGGACTTCAGGTGGGTGATACCAGTTTTCATGTCCCCTCACAGTCTTCTTTTCTCAGGAGAAAGAGTTCTAGTCAGGTAGAGCAACCCTAGGCATAGATTTCATTATTTTCCTGGTACCTTACAGGCTCTAAAGCATATTCAAATTTGGGCCAAGCAACAACTCTAGTTTCTCTTTATTTTTCAAACTCCATGTTGACTTTTGTCCTTGACTTGTCCATGTCTCTTACCAAAGGAGATAACCAGGACCCAAACGTCTAGAAGAATCACTCGGTAAGAGCCAGAGCTGCAGCACAACCCAAGTTGGCATCTGGAAACGACCACAGTGCACAGCATCTTTGCTGTCTGCAGACACAATGCTAGGGGTTCCACTGGTAGTCTGGGCAGACCCTGGGTTATGAACTTCTAACTTACAGACAACTCATACTTACCCTTTAATGGTACTTTGAAATGAATAAACCAAACGTACTTGCAACAAACTCATCACAATCACCTTCATTTGCTGTACTTTCCTGGCACTGAAGTAAGAATGCATTTGTTCTGACTTACATACAAATTCTTAAAGACAGGCTCAGGAGTGATCTCGTTCATAACCCAAGGATTTTCTGTATCTGATTTGCTCCAATATAATCTCCCTTTTATAGATGAAGTAACTAAGGCTCAAAGACTTTAACTTGCTCAAGGTCATTCAAGCTATAAAGTCTAGAAGCAGGATTTGAATCCAGGGCTGTCTGATTATGAAAGTTTATGTTTTAACATGTGTTTATGGACTTTAAACCTTAAAACTGAGGTACTGGAATGGCTGAAATGAGTGACTTCTGGCCTAAATTAGAATTCCATTCTGAATTAAACTGAAATCTCCACTTACACTGTTCTAAAGAGACAATTCATCCTTTATGTCAAACTTTAATTGCTTAAAACCCAAAGAGAGCAAGAGACAGGATTTCTGGCTTAGGTGAGGAATTTTTTGTTGAAGGTGTCTTTTAAGAAGGTTTGCTCAGCTTGTTCTTAAAGAATGCCTTATTCAAGCATGTCCTTGGAGGTTAGTAAACAAGATTATAATTGATAATGCTAAGGTGACAAGTAACCATCTCATAACTCTAACCAAGATGAGATAAATGTCAATTAACCAAGTCTTAATCATACTTCATTTTCAGTAACTGCAGTCTTCCATTCCATTTCTGCTCTTTGTAAACCTGTAACTAGGTAAAGTCATAAGTCTCTTATCTTAAAATAATGGGAGAGGTAGACATACAGTTATGACTCAATTTATTCCCAACAGAATGCCTTGTTAAACAAATCTCAGAATGTAGCAAGTAAACTAATTGCTGTTAAATGTTTAAAATTATAGTTTAACAAACCTTTGTCACTTTTTACAGTGCCACCCTGTTCTCTTCCCCTGTTCCCAGGCCTGCCTTTGTTTCACCTAATAAAAAGGCTCTCTTGCTCTCTGCATCACAGAACATATTGCAGCATCTTGTCTGGATGCTTGTGTGTCTCCCATTTCATGAAATGTTTCCTACTTCAAGAAACTGTTTGTTTTTATTTCTAGCAGAGTGTAAATCTGGTGTTTCACTATGGCAACCGTAAGCATCTAAGGAAGCCAAAAAAAGGATCTTAGCTCTCCCATATTGGAGTCAAAGTACAGCTGATTTATCAGTTCCCAACCACAATCCTGCCACCCCATAGAAAGCATGTGAGATTTTTTTCAGGAGAGACATACCTGCTTCCTGCATTCGTGTAAATTTTAGGGTTTTGTCTGTTTTTATTTTACTCAGAGTTCTGAAACCCATCCTGAACCATTTCTCAGATGTCTTTAATCCCACTCCAAATACGGAAGTGAAGAGCTAAAATGGAGAAGAAAGCATGTCATTCACTAGTTTCTAGAACAATCATTATTAATGAAGTGGAGAGTTTTTCAAGCTCTCAAGCAATTCAGAAAGTGTGTAAGCATATCTCTGAACAAATTTCTTCTGAACATGGCCAGTAGGTGGGTGATAATAATTTATCCGAGACATTTTTTCCCCCTGACACATATTCTTATCTGTCATCTGCTTTGGGCCTACACATAATCTGATTATGGGATTGGCCGTATTGTCAGTAAGTGATGACAGTTATCCCTTTGCAAGAGTATTTTACATACAGTCATTCCCTGCAATATTTACTCTCAAATTTTAAAGAGGAATTCTCATTTAGGTGACATAAATTCTCTATTGCCACATTGCTGGCAAATGAAAGAATGTGGACTCAACTGTACTCCAAGTTTGGGCTCCTACCCCTGGCCACACTTTAGGCTTGTACATAACACTTCTGATCCAAGATTCAGAATTCATGGGTGGAGCTTCAAAGTCAAGATTTGCCTTGGTTGAAGGAATGAGCTAGGTATGTGGAAGGTGTTATGAACTGAATTGTGTTCCCAAAAAATATGTCTCAATTTGGCTAGACCATGATTCTCAGTATTATGTAATAATCCTATGTATTGTAAATCCTAATCTCTGTCATGTTAATGAGGCAGGACCAGTAGAAGTTATGTTAATGAGTTAGGACACAGTCTACAGGATTAAGTTGTATTTAGAGTTAATCTATCCTGAGATATAAAAAGAGATCAAATAAGTGAGCAACAAGCAAGCAGAGTTCAGAGGGACTTCATTACCATCAAAAAGAAAAAGCTGAGGGCAAACTACATTCTTAGGACCTGGGGTTCTTGTGTTGAGAAGCTACTAGATTCAGGGAAGGTCAAGACACCTGGAGAGCTCTAAGGAACACTGGGCCCATGGTTGGTGAAAGGAGAATGTAATCTTTCCCCAAAACTGACAGAAAGAGAAAGCCTTCCCCTAGAGATGATGTTGTTGTTAGGTGCTGTTGAGTTGGCTCCCACTCACAGTAACCCTATGCACAACACAACAAAACTGTGCCATCTTCACAACTGTTGTTAGGTTTCAGCCCATCGTTACCATCGGTGTGTCAGTCCATCTTGGTAAGGGTCTTCCTCTTTTTCACTGACCCTCCACTTGACCAAGCATGATATCCTTCTCTAGGGACTGATCTTTTCTGACAGCATGTCCAAAGAACAAGAGATAAAGACCTGCCATCCTCACTTCTCAGGACCATTCTGGCTGGATTTCTTCAAAGATATATTTGTTTGCTCTTCTGTAAATCCATAGTACTTTCAATATTCTTTGCCAACACTATAATTCAAATCCATTGATTCTTCTGTGATTTTCCTCATTCATTGTCCAGCTTTTACATGCATATTATTATGATTGAAAATACCATGTACCATGGTTTGGGTCAGGCGTACCTTAGTTCTCAAATTGATATCTTTGCTCATGAACACTTAAAGAGGTCTTGTATAGCATACTTGTCTAATACACTGCATTGTTTGATTTCTTGACTGCTGCTTCCATTAATGTTGTTTGTGCACCCAAGCAAAATGAAGTCTGTGCAAACTTCGATCTTTTCTCCACTTATCTTGGTGTTATTTATTGGTCCAGTGGTGAGGATTTTTGTTTTGTTTACATTGAGGTATAATCCACATTAAACACTGTTGTCTTTGATCTTCATCAGTAAGTATCCTAAGTCCTCTTCACTTCCAGCAAGCAAGGTTGTGTCATCTGCATATTGCAGGTTGTTAATGAGTCTTCCTCCAATCCTGATGCCACGTTTTTCTTCATATAATCCAGTTTCTTGGATTATTTGATAACCATATAGACTGAGTAAGTATGGTGAAAGAATACAACCCTGGTGCACAACTTTTCTGATTTTAAACCATTTAGTATCTCCTTGTTGTGTTCAAATGGCTGCCTCTTATTCTATGTACAGGTTCCTCATAAGCAAAATTAATTGTTCTGTAATACCCATTTTCATGATGTTATCCATAACTTGTTATGATTCACACAGTGGAATGCCCCGGAGCTGACGCCCTAAATTTGGACCTCTAACCACCTAACCTCTAACCTCCTGGTGTGGCATTGTACTGGACTGCAAGATCAGTTTGAACTGCAATGTTGGCAGTTCAAACCCACTAGCCACTCCTTGGAAATGCTATACAGGGTCTCTATGAGTTGGAACCAACTTGACACCACTTGATAGCAATAACAACAAACCTCCTAACCAACGAAAGAATAAGTTTCTGTTTGTTAAAGGCATCCATTGGGTGTATTTCTGTTACAGCATTATGAGAGAACTCAGACAGAAGGGCTTTGTGGAAGTTTCCTCATAAGGCAGGGAGGTAATTGACACAGTGGCAGCACTAATGGCCGTATTAACAATAAAAAACATAGCAACAATTGTGAGGACGGAGCAGGACCAGGAAGTGCTTCGTTCTTTTGTGCATAGTATTCCTATGGGGTTGAAACTGACTGGACGGCCCTTAACAACAGCAAGAAACAACTACCTGCTTCAATAAACGATGATGCAGTGAAGAGTGTTCCAGGCTTGGTCTGTGCCCATGGTCCTTGGTCCTGGTGTGGTGCCATGGGTTTATGTGCTGAGCTGCAAGGTCAGTTTGAACCCCAAGGTTGGTGGTTCAAGCTCACCAGCCGCTCCTCGGAAACTCTATACAGTATCACTATGGGTTGGAACCAACTTAATGGCACTTAATAACAACAAAAAAAGACTCCTGAACACAGAAGTGGTATGCATTTCCAAGTCACATAGCAATAAACTAGGGACCTGCATTTATTTACGCTCCTGCCTCCTAGACCACCCAGAATAAGTTATATGATGGACCTGAAAACACATCTTAGATAAATATCTGTAAAAGAACTTACTTTGAAGGAGTTGTATCGTTCATCATTTAATACAGCTTTAGCTTCAGAACTTTCTCCATCCTCAATGATTTCCTGTATGGATAGTTGAAACAATATTCTAAATTAGTGAAGTGAGACAATCAGTCTGAGATTCTCAAATTCACAGATCTGGTAGTTTTCGTTTTCATGCAACACACCCTCATTGCAAGCAGGATGTGTCCTAGCTGACCCAGAGAATATAAGATATTCCCCTCTAATTCTGAAAACCCACACTTATCATATATCTAAGTGTCCCTTTACAATGCTCAGGGACAAAGATACTGTAGAAATCAGGTTCAAATCTACAGAATATCAAGCCAAAATAATTACTGACAAATGTATGTCAAATATTTATGATACTTTTCTTTTCAATGGATATGAATTTGATGAAACAAGAGGGCTTTTCATTTGAGCATGTTAATTTGGAACCCACTAGGAAGCCAATCCAAGCAAACCCTTATGACTAGCTCAGAGCCACTCTATTCTAAGTAGAATTGGGATTATTTTCCACAAATAATTTTCCTTGTACTTGATTAGACAAAAACTTACTATTGGATTAGACTTGCTGTGGCTATCTTCAAACATCATTAAATTAATAAACAATCCACTGCACACCTGTCGCTGGAGCATGTAGGTGGAGATGCAAAATCAGCTCCACGGCATGTCATATCTGCTACTGCTTTTCCAAGTGGAGCTGGGGTCCTCTGGGGTCTGTGTTTGAACTCACAATCTTTCGCTGCTGTAGAGGTTTTAGTCTTGAGCCTTTCACCATGATTAATAATAATAAAATGAAAGAGTTCTTTATCCACTAGCTGACTTTACAAATTCTTGTTGTTATGTGCCGATGAATGGGTTCTGACTCATAGTGACCTTGTACAAGTTTTCTGGGGAGTGGATGGTGGGTTTGAACCACCAACCTTGTTGTTTGCAGTCCATTGCTTTTCCTACAGTGCCACACCTGGACTCCTGTAGTCATGTTAGGGTATGTTGTTGTTGTTTTTAAATGCCGTAGAGTTGGTTCCAACACATAGCAACTCTGTGTGTTTTCCAAGGAGCAGCTGGTGAGCTTGAACCATTGACCTTGCAGTTCAAACTGACTTTACAGTCCAGCACATTAACCCACAATGCCACACCAGGACTCCATGTTAGGGTATAGATTATACATATATATGCATTTACATGCACATCTCTATATCTATAGCTATATATCCATTGTTGTTGTTCTTAAATGCAATCAAAATGATTCCGACTCATAATGATCTTGTATAAAGGCTTCTGAGGAGCAGCTGGTGGATTTGAACTGCTGACCTTGTAGTTAGCAGTCCAGTGCTGATCCTACAGTAACACACCAGGAGTCCATCTATTCATATGCCCAGATAAAAGAAGTCATGAATACCACATCTATATTATTGTTGTTAAGTATCCTTGAGTCAGTTCTGACTCATACTGATCCTGTATAGGGTTTCTGAGGAGTGGTTCATGGGTTTGAACCACTGACCTTGCAGTTAGCAGCCCAGAACTTATTCTATAGCACCATACCATCATTCCATCTATGTAGTTAACAAGACAATCTACTAGGCGCATCTCTCTCTGTCTCTCTCCATATCCATTTTAGTCTAGGAAAGAAATAGTAGAGGTGGGGTCAATCCCATTTCACCTTTACCTCTATGACGCCCTTCACCTTGTCCCCCAGGCAGGGAATTCCTTCTGTGTCCTTCATAGTGATGATTGTGAATGGAAGAGATTTCAACACAGAAGCCGCTCTCAGAAATGCCAGACAAGACCCTTCATTTTCTCTAAACTCAAAATTTTCAGCCAATACCTCAAAGGCATCCTGAAGAATAAATCCAAATGAACAAAACACAGTCAGTTTTCTAGCCTCTGAGCCAGAGGTCACTCACAAATGCTATCTGACTGTCTCCTGAAAGGTCAGGATGGGTTCTCATGGTTTTGTGTCTGGAGCAAAGGCCACCCAGTTAATGTTTGTTGGCTCCAAAAGAGTTCAGTTGGAAAAGCAAGCACCAGAGTTAGAGTTTGTTGCCATACACGAAGCAGCCTTGGGGAGGTGAGCAGAGAGTGGGACCCTACCCAGAGAAGCAGTGATGCCAGAGATGGAGGCAGAGACGATGACATGAAAAGATGGAGCAGCTGGGGACTTTAGACCCAGAGAGGGAGAGGGGATTATGCTGACGACAAGGGTGGGGCAGGCTTGCAGGGTATACCCTTTGGTTGGTTGATGATGCATGGAGGGGATTGTAACCGTGCAATGAAAAGATATACGATAGGATGAATGTAAAACTAATGTTCACCCATGTAAACTATTACATAACTCACAATAAAACATATAAAAAAAAAAAAAGAAGAAGAAGAAGAAGAAGAAGCCTTGGGGTGCAATGATTAAGCAGTCTGCAATTTGAACCCACCAGCCACTCCATGAAGGAGCTCTGGTAGCGTTGTGGTTACGAATCGGGCTGTGAACGTCAGGGTAAGCAGTTCGAAACTACCAGCTGTTCGTGGGAGAAAGATGAGGCGTTCTGCTCCCGTAAAGATTTACAGCCTCGGAAACCCTGTACAGGGTCGCTATGAGTCGGAACCGACTCCACGGCACATAACAACAACAACAGCCACTCCATGGGAGGAACTACTTGGTACTCTGTTCTTGTCGATTTTAACCAGTGACACCCTATTGGACAATTCTATTCTGCCACACTGGGTCGCTGGGAGTCAGAATCAGCTCCATTGCACACAGTAGCACATACTTAAGAATGATTTAATCTTCCTTAAAGTGATCTTATGCTCACCATCCTAAAGTAGTTACTACATGCCTGCTGTCTTTGCCACCACTCTGTGGCTCAAATTCGGCCTTGGTGACTGGACCTGCCTGTCTTTTCGCAAGTGCATACAACACAACACTTAGAATGGATGCAATCTTGGATCACATGCCCCAAGACCAGTGTTATTTAAGGTGAGGGCATGTTTGCATTTCTGGCAGAGAGGGAAGTAGGTGCAGCTGTATGACTTCATGCTCATCCTGTCTGGTAGTTGCAGTTTCCTTGCAGAAGTAGGGCTGGAAGTCTAGGAATGAGAAACTTTGCCTCTGATGAAAAAAACAAAAATGTTGCCATCAAGTTGATTTTGACTCATAGCGTCCTTTCGGGACAGAGAGTGTAACTGTCCCACTGGGTTTCTAAGACTGTACTCTTCATAGGAGCATACTGCCACATCTTTCCCCTGCTGGGTCTCAACTGACAACCTTTAACTTTGCAGCTGAGAGTTTACACCACTATTTATTGTTGTTGTTGTTGTTAACCACCATCGAATCTGTTCCGACTCATAGTGACCCTATACAGGGTTTCTGAGGAGTGGCTTGTGGATTTGAACTGCTGACCTTGTGGTTCAAACCGATACTGCAGTCGAGTACATATCCTACAGCACTGTTGTTGTTGTTAAGTTCTGTAGAGTCAGTTCTGACTCATAGCGACCTTGTATAGGGTTTCTGAGGAACAGCTGGTGAGCTTGAACCACTGACCTTGTGGTTCAAACCGACATTGCAGTCCAGCGCATTAACCCGCAGTGCCACACCAGCACTCCAATAGGAGTATATTTTATCAGCTGACTGCTGTCTCTAGGCTAGAAGACAAATAGCTGTGGATTTAGTAGGGTCATTTGAAACATAGTTACCAAACTTCAGAGGATAGGGCTTTACAGAGGTGCTACATGGTGGCACAACAGTTAAGCACCAGCTGCTAAATGGTAGGTCGTTGTTTGAAAGCCATCCAGCAACTCTTCCGAACAAAGTCCTGGTGATCTGCAAGAAAACCCTATGGAGCAGTTCTACTCTATCACATGAACTCACTAAGAGTTGAAAATGACTCAAAAGCCCCTAACAACAATAAGCTAATTTCTGATTGAAGAGATGAAGAAACAGAGGCTCAGAGAGACGCATTCACTTGTCTGAGCTGGTTTATCAGACTGAGGCTAGAATCCAGGTCTGCTGATTCTCCGTCTTTTGGTTTTCCTATTAGTGCTATTTCTATGTTATTTGCTCTTATTATGTATCGGACTCTCATAAGTCTCTCGGACATATTATCAGGAGGGACCAGTCCCTGGACGAGGACATTCCGCTTGATAAAGGGCGGGCCAGTGAAAAAGAGGGAAACCTGCAATGAGATAGACTGGCACAGTGGCAGTAGCAATGGGCTCAAGCGTAGCAGCACTTGTGAAGGTGACTCAGGACTGGGTGGGGCTGCTATGGGTCAGAACTGACTCAGTGACACCTAACTACAATAACAATGTATTGGACTAACAGAGTATTTTGTTCAGAAGATTTGCCTTTGAGAAGTATTGCGTTACCAATGTTGCCAGTGTTCAATCAATAGTAATTTACTGTCTCTAAGGAATATAATCTAGACTAGAGATACTATCGATGGTCCAAGAGAGAGTGGGAGAAAAATGGAAACCAAAATTCAAATTCTTAAAAAAAAACAACCCTCAAATCCTCAAAAAAGACTAGACTTACCTGATTGGTAGAAACTTTAAGCTATCTACTTAAACCACACCTGAAGTCATCTTTCAGCTAAAAAACAGATTGTTGTTACTTTTGTTGCTGTTAATTGCCATCAAGTCGATTCTGACTCATAGTGACCCTGTATAGGGTTTCCATGAGTGCCTGGAGGATTTGGACCACCAGCCTTGAGATTTAAACCGGCCTTGTGATGCAGTGCATCATTCTTCAGAGTTACACCAGGACAAATATTTTTATGCAACTATCCAAAAAAACAAAAGAGCTCTGGTAGCGTAGTGGTTACGAACAGGGCTGCGAACCGCAAGATCAACAGTTCGAAACTACCAGCTGTTCCGCAGGAGAAAGATGAGGTTTTCTGCTCCCCTGAAGATTTACAGCCTCAGAAACCTTGTACAGGGTCGCTATGAGTCGGAACCGACTCCACGGCACATAATCAATCAACCAATCAAAAAAGCAGATTTGTTGTTGTTAAGTGCTGTTGAGTCAGTTCAGGCTCATAGCGACCCTGTATAAGATTTCCAAAGAGCAGCTGGTGGGTTTGAACTACCTACTTTGTTGTTTACAGTCCAGTGCTGACCCTACAGTGCCACACCAGGCATCCAAATAACAGATGGTGATGATGGTTGTGTGCCGTGGAGTTGGTTCCTATTCATAGTGACCCTGTACAGGGTTTCCGAGGCTGTAAATCTGTACCGGAGCAGGAAGCCTCATCTTTCTCCCATGGAACAGCTGATAGTTTCGAACTGCTGATCTTGAGGTTAGCAGCCTGATTCGTAACCACTACGCTACCAGAGCTCCTTAAATAACAGATAGATGCACAAAAATAAACAATATCACTCATTAATACTGTGCTCCTTTAAAAAAAGATGATCTATATGAGACCAAATAGTCAATATTTATCCAAAAGCAAAGATTAGAAGGTAAGGGGAGGGGGGAACTAAAGCAACAGAAATGGAAATAAAGAGAAGATTGATTGACACATTGTAAAAGATATAAACAATGTCACTGAACAATATTATAGAAATTGTCAAGTGGAAACCTAATTTTCGGTGTAAACTTTCACCAAAAACACAAGAAAGACTATAATAAAAAAATTAAAACAATATAACTCAAATGCAGTTCTCTATTTCCATGAAAGAAAGGGACCTATTTTTGCTAGCAAGAACCAGATATCAGGAAAGGTGGTTAGGTGAGTGAGCATAGGAAAAACTTTTCCAAATTTTCATCAATTTTCCTAATTTAATGTGGAGATAAATGGGGAGAAGTTTCAAGCTTTTAGTTTGGGGTGATATTGCAGAACTCTATTACCGTGAATATGTGGTTATGGTGGGCTAAAGTGGTTCTTCTTTGGCATGCGTACTGTGAGATCTTTTCTCCAGCAGGTGGTGGAGTCTTCTGGGGGCTTGGGTTGGGGCTGGATGAAGAGTCTCTTCCCATCTAAACAAATGCATAAGCACCCACCTTTTAGAAGCAATTATTAATAATAATAGATATGGGTGAGGAACAATATTAGAGGCAATTTAAAGGCAGTTGTCTTTGGAAGGAGAATAAAAGTATGGATATGTTATGTTATTTACATGTTGGTAACATATATAACATATTTATGTTATTTACTCAAATGTTACGATGTTTACATCTTGAATATGTAAATTTGCTATAACTAATGTGTATTGTTTTTGCAATCAGAAATGAAAATATGAAAAAGAACCATCAATCAAATATAATTTTCCTTTTCTGTGAATATGTCTAGTTATGGTCCAAAAGATCTTGCTTCGTAAAATTCTGGCACTATTGGTCATTAGGATTAAGAGATTTTTTTTTTTTTTATGAAAAAAAATAGGAACCCTCTTCTTTTTCTGCTGCCAGAACATCAAAATTTGAGTGCTTTGAAATATTTATGTATAAACTTGTCATAACAATGTTGTTTTGTTAAGTACCATCAAGTTGGTTCTAACTGACAGAGATCCTGTTATAGAGTTTCCAAGGAGTGGCTGGTAAGTTTGAACTGCCAACCTGTGGTTCAAACTGACCCTTCTGTCTAGTGCTTATCCTACAGTGCCACACCAGGACGCCTGTCACAATATCAGTATTATTTGGTGCCTTCTACATCTAGACAAGGAGCTCTGGTAGCGTAGTGGTTACGAATCGGTCTGCTAATCTCATGGTCAGCAGTTCGAAACCACCACCTGTTTCGTGGGAGAAAGATAAGGCTTTTTGCTCCTGCAAAGATTTACAGCCTTGGAACCCTGTGCAGGGTTGCTATGAGTTGGAACCAACTCCACAGCACATAACAACAACAACAACAACATCCAGACACTCATACTCTGGACATATTGTCAGGAGAGACCATTCGCTTGAGAAGGATATCATGTTTGGTAAGGTGGAGGGTCATAGAAAAAGAGGAAGGCCCCCAGCAAGATGGATTGGCAAAGTGGCAGCATCAATGGGCTCAAGCATGGCAACAATTGTGAGGTTGGCCCAGGATCGGGCAGTGTTTCGTTCCGTTGTGCATAGGGTCACTATGAATCGGTACTGACTTGATGGCACCTAACAACAACACATCCAGACACTGTGTTAAATGTTTTAACACGAGTTTAACTCTAATCCTGGTAGCCATGTTATTTGGTAGGCAGCATTATGGCACTATAGATAGGGTCAGCACTGGACTTTAAACCATAGGTCAGCAGTACAACTCCAGCTGCTCCTTGGAAACCATATACAGAGTTGCTAAGATCAGAATCAACTCGATGGCACTTAACAACAACAACATTGCTATCTCAGGAGTCCTAGTGTGGTGCAGTAGGATAAGCATCAGACTGCTTACCACAAGGTTCAAACCCACCAGCTGCTCTGCTCCTTGGAAACCCTATACAGGTCGCTATGAGTTGGAACAGATTTTACGGCACTAACCAACAACAACAATGTGATTCTAGGAGCTCCTAATGGAACGACCAATGAATCAGCTGCTAACCACAAGGTTAGAGGTTTGAGTTCACCCGGTGGTGCTTCAGAAGAAAGGCCTTGCAATGGCATTCCAAAACACAGTCAACCATTGAAAACCGGGGAGCAGAGTTGTACTCTGCTACACACGGGTCACTGTGAGTCCGAATTGTTTAGACAGCAGCTGGCTTACTGGCGTGATTCTAAAGTCAGTGTTCATAACCACCAAGCAACAGACAATGACAATGACAATTGTGACACTTACAACAAGCTGGTGTTTTCCTGTCATCTCCACTGGTTTTCCTGCTCCTATGCATTCAATCAGCCAGGAGACATCCAGGAGTTCCAGCTGTGAGCTGGCTTTTATTTTCTGTACTTGAAGCCATTCCAGAACATCTGAACCAGAGTTATTTTCTGCCACAATATGGGTGACGGCATCACTGCAAAGTGTAAGACAAAGTGACCAGCTGAAAGGGCTTTCAAAATCAGAAGCAACTCCTTTTCCCTCAAGGTGTTCAGAGCACTCCATCTGACCTTGGTAAGGGCTTGTTGAATTTAGCTTCCATTCAAAAGAATTCTATCTCGATTGTGATTGATGCAGGACATTGGTCTTTGTCCCATACCGGATGCAACAAAAAGTAAGGACACATGAACAAAACTGCAGTGTCAAAGGGAAATTTAGCTTCAGAGAAGGTGGAAGATGAAATTGATCTTAAAATAACCCAGGTTATTTTGGCTAATGTGCTTGGCTAATGGCTAATGTGCTTGGCTGCTAAGCAAAAGGTAGGAGGTTGGAGTCCATAGAGCGGTATTTGGGAAGAAAGCCTGCGATCCACTTCCGAAGATCCACTGCTGAAAATCCTATGGAGCATAGTTCTACTCTGACAAACACAGGGTCACCGTGATTGGGAAGCAACTTGATAGCAACTGATTCTGTTTTCTGATTCCATCTTCTACACGTGGTTTGCATGTGCTATTTTATTTTTATTTGTGGAGAGCTTTAATCAGGGTCTTTTAAATTTGTTTCACTACGACTCACAGAAAGAAATACATTTTATATCATGGCCCAAATAGAAATAGGTATGCGGGGGCTTCGAAAGTTCATTCAAGTTCTTCCACGAACTTCTTGAAGCCCCTTTGTGTAGATATAGATTGTTTTTATATCCCACTAAATTGATCTGTGAGCAGTTTTTGGGGGAATTTTGCTTTATGTTTAGTTTGGAGACAACCCTGTCGTCTAAGATGAACAAGGAATATTTTCTTAACAACTATTGAGCACTTATCACGTGATTCAGACACAGCCCAAGAACCTTACCCGTATCACTTCAGTTAACATTCACAGAGATCTTCAAGTGTTCTATTATTCATGCTTCAAGAATGAGGAAACTGAAGACCAGAGAGGTTTAGTGACATCCAAAAGGTTACATAGTTGGTAAATAAATTATAGTCACCCTTTTGAACATCTTTTCCAGGTTAAATATATTATTTCTAATTTTGAAAAGACTGCAAGTGTCAACATCATTGTTGTTGCTATTGTAAAGTGTCTTGAGTTGGTTCTGACCCATAGAGACCCTGTATAGGGTTTCCAAGGAGCATCTGGTGAGCTTGAACTGCTGACCTTGCAGTGCAAAGCGACTTTGCAGTCCAGCGCAATAACCCACAGAGCCACACCAGGACACTATCAACATCATACTGTCCCTATTTATCATAGGCAGAAACAGTAACTCAAGAAAGCTAAATTCACTTGCCCCAAATCATACCAGCTAGAAACTAGCTTGAGTGGAAATATTACCTACAACCTGTGGTATCTAGTCCATGGCTCTTACTTCTGTGTTACACCGCTTCATTTGAATAGTTCTATATTTACTGTGGAAGAGCATTTAACACAAAATGGAAAGGCAGACTTGCTGGCCCAGTTCCAGAAGATAGTGGTCAACTAGCCATGGACTTTGAAGTAGTGTACAAGGAATCGCCAGCTATCTGAGTCTATGGGTTGGGGCAATAAAGCAGCTCAGGTGCAGACAAAGCCACTTCAGACTGCTCTGGTGTCTCTCAGAAACGGTGGAGGAAGAGCAATGGAGGGACCCAGCTGGGGAGGAGGGAGGAGCCTGTCCTGTAAGGCTCTGTAGAGGAGAGCAACTGATGGGATATTTTCCTTCTCTATAAAGTAAGAGACTAGATACAATGATTTTTAAGGCTCTTTCAGTTTGAAGAGCCTAGGAATTTGAGAAATAGCAAGAGAAAACAGCACACCCACACATCAAAGAAAAAAAAAGAATGATTTTCTCTTCCTCTTCCTTGACTTCCTCTTTCTCCTTCTCCTTTTTCTTATTGACCTAGATTCACGGGGTAATTTTTTGCCCTAGTTTCCTTGTCAAGGAGGAGGTGGCGGTGGTGGAGTACCAGGGAAGAACAGGAAAGGCTCTGGGCATTGGTATCTTACATGAACTCAGTGGTTAACGATGTGAGCTATGTCAGGACATGATGCATGAACCAGATCTGCAGGTGGTTATCAGGGAAGAGAAAGTAAGTGCTAGTGTGCTCTGGGAGAGGCAGAGGGCTTCATGGTCGAGCTGAGACCTGTGTCTGGCCTTGATGGATAGGGTCTTAGTTTCCTAGGACTGCCTAACAAGACAATACAAAGAGCAGAAATGTGTTTTCTCACAGTTCTGGAGGCCAGAAGTCTAGACTCAGTCAGAATGTGGGCAGGGTGCGCTCATGGGTGTTGATGTGCACATATCCTCTCTCTGTCAACTCTATGGAAAGGCACTTTCTTATCTAGCTTCCATAGCCTCAGGCATTTCTTGACAGTCCTTGGCTTATAGATGGATCCTCACGTGGTGTCTTCCCTCTGTGTGACTGTTTCTGTGTCTAGTCTCCTCTTCATAAGATGTTAATAGCATCTATAAAGAAAAACACTGTTTTCCCAAATAAGGTGACATTCACTGATAGAGGACTTCAACTTATGTTTTTGGAGGACATAATTCATTTCATAATAGATGGGTTAGAATAAGGTATCTGAAAGGCAAAACTTTGAGACCTACTGGAAGGCAAGGTTAGAAACTCGAACAAAGGTAGTGTGCTAGAGAACAGATGGTAGTGGTGGTGGTGGTGTGCTGTGGAGTCAGTTCCGACCCATAGAGACTCTGGAGAGGGTTTCCAAGGCTGTAACTCTTTACAGGAGTAGAAAGCCTCATCTTTCTCCTGAAGAACAACTGGTAGTTTCAAACTGCTGATCATGAGGTTAGCAGCCTGACTCGTAACCACTAGAAGAGTTTATGTTGCAAAGCAGTTGTGACTGAGTCTGGGTCAGTAAAGGAGACTGAGTTAGTAGCAACAATACTATAGAGGGTCTTAGCAGCCTGGTCTAGGAGGCTGGGTTTTCTTATCTAAGCATTGCAGAGACAGTGAAGGCTTTTGTAAACAGGGCAGTCATCATGTTCAAGTATTATTTGAAAAACTTAATCTGGTGCATGGGATGATTTGGAGAGGAGAGCTATGGTTTCGTGGTAGAGAGGGGATAGGAGAAGACGTTAGGAGGATGAAACAGTAGCTCCCGTTTGAGGTGATTTTAGCGCAGTCTGGTTCCTGTGGAGCTAGAAAGGGAACCCCCTGCTGTCATGTTGAGTCCGACTCACAGCGATCTTATAGGGCAGAGTGGAGCTGCTCCTTAGGATTTCCAAGCCTGGACATCTTTATGGGAGGAGTCAGCCTCATCTTTATCCCACAGAGCAGCTGGTGAGTTTGAACCACTGACCTTGTGGTTGGCACTTAACTGACTACACCACCAGGACTCGTTAAAATAGCAAAGGGAGACTCTGATAGCCATGTGGCATTAGTCCACCTATAATGCATGAAGTGGAGCCTAGAGTCAAATATCACTGGTGCATATCTGTCATTACATTTGATAGGAATAGGGACTTAGGGCATTGCGTTTATTTGGGGTACCATTTGCCGTCCAGTCAATCTTGATTCCTGGTGACCCATGTGTGTCAGAGTAGAACTGTGTTCCATAGAGTTTTCAATCACTGATTTTTTGGAAGTAGCTAGTCAGGTCTTTCTTCTGAGACATCTCTGAGTAGACTTGAAATACCAACCTTTCAGGCAACAGCTGAGCATAGTACCATGGGTACCATCTAGGGACTACAGGGGAAAGAATTGTTGTTAGTGAGTACCATCGACTCTTTTCAGACTCATAGCTGCCCTGTGTGAGGTTCTAAGGAGCAGCTGGTGGGTATGAGCAACCAACCTTGTGCTTAGCAGTCCAGTGCTTATCTTACAGTGCCAGACCAGGACTCTAACCAGGGAAAGAATTGGGAGATATAATCAAAGTTTTTCAGGAATGCTGAGTTTGAAGTTAGGAGGAAATTCGAATGAAAATATCCAACTGCCAGTTGGGATCTGAGGCTGGAGCCAGAGAGAAGACTAGACTGCATGTCAGAGCTGAAACCGTCTGGAAGAGAAGCCAGCAGGGTGTAGAGCGAGTCCAAGAAGAAAAAGTCATAGTAAAACAACACTTTTAAGAGTTAACAGAAGACGGATATTTGCTTCCCCTGCCACTAATGGATAGGTTGCTGGTTCATTTCCACCCAGTAGCCCATAGCAGGAAGGTCTGGTGACCGGCTTTCATAAAGATTACAACGGAGCACCAACTGAGACGGAAGGAGTCTCCACATCAAGGAGCTAGACTACCCCCTCTGTATACAGGGATGATAGGGACAGGCAACTTAGACCCTGGCTACCTAAAACGGGGGAGTCCTGGTGTGGCACTGTGGGTTAATGTGCCAGACTGCACAGTCATTTAAACTGCAAGGTCGGCAGTTCAAGCTCACCAGCTGCTCCTTGGAAACCCTATACAGGGTAGCGATGGGTCGGAATCGACTCGATGGCACTTAACAACAAACAACACCTAAAATGGGGTACTAAAAAGACATGAAGTGACTGGCTTACAAGTTTTCAAGAGGGAGTTTAGTACTGGAGTGTGCAGGGGAAGGTAGAATCCCCACTGAATAGTTTTCATCTTACCTAGACGGGTCTGGTAAAAGGAGATAGGGATAAGATTTTTTACAATTCAAAAGTGAGTAATTGTTATCATGACTAATTGTGATTGTCACAACTGTAAAGGTC